CCCCAAAACCCCAAAACCCCAAAACCCCTTTTTAAATATGGAGCATTGAAATATAAATGATATTCTTAAATGGTTGAGCTTCGACAAAATAGCTCATATGTTTAGAGTAAGTAGATTAAATGATTAATGCTCTATAAATTTCTTCACTAAATATCTCTTTGAACTATAGGAATCATTAAAAGGGCTAAATCCTATCTCGGAGATCAAGAAAAGATTCTGAAGAGAGCTTAAAACTGGAGTGCAAGATTTATGAACTCACCAGTCAATTAACAACAAAACAAGAGCTTTAGAAAGAACTTAATTAAAAACCTTTAAAAAAGCTGTTAAAGCATTGGTCATTGTAAAAGAAAGAAATTGTAGGATTAAATGACTAATATGCCTAGGTACTAAATTTTCTTAAGTGATCTTAAAAAATTATTCCAAGATCTATCCCTGATCGATAAGCTTCCTTTCCCATCGTTCTTCGACATAAAAACTCTTTGAAGATTTCTTGTGCTAAGATTTAATTCCAAAAGAAGAACCACAGTAATACCTTGAGTTAAAACATGAATAAACAATTTAAAGGTCTCAGATAATCAAGAGGATGGAATAGAAAGATACCTATTTAGAGCAAGAATAGTCAGAGAAGTGAATCATGAAGTCGTAAAAATATGTAGACTATATAGTGGCATTAACAAGAATTTATTAGATAAGCATCTTGAACCAGAAACTTGCTTGATCAACAATTTCACTACTGAGAGCTTCATAATCTATTTCTAGCATAGAGCAATAGCTGGAGCCAATAACATTGTTAAAATTGTTAAGGATAAACCTCAGTCTGTTTGGATAATATCAACTCTGTAAATTCCTGATTATAATTTTTAGATTTCTATTCACACAGTCAATTAATGCTGCAAACAGTCGCCTTATAAAGTATCTCCAGTATCGATGCAGCAGTCATCTATCAGGCTGTTCTTCTGGTTTTGAATTTCTGTCTCTCTTATCATTGCAGATAAAGTGATCCTGACTTTTCTTGTAATCAACCTAGGATTCCAAAACACTTACAGACTATATATCAGGTCATAACATTACTACTTCCAGCCTCTCTCACTACTTAGCCCTTCTATCTTTGCCGTATTTTTGTAACTCTTGGCTAAAACGCCTCTAAATTAACACTGAACAAACACTTTGACTAATTCAAACAACTACCAAACTGGGACTCATCCTCTTGTCAAGACTACCACAATAATGAAACCCCCTGCTGAAAAACGACCAGTCACCCATCAAAACCACTACTATCATTATTTATAATTTAACTATCCTACGTACAAGCTACGAACCCTCAGACTTCGCCAAGTAGAATTCCATGAGAAGCAGCCTTTAGATAACCCACCGGTTCTAGCATACATTCCTTTTGCCAGGCCATTTACCAAAACTATTGACTTTTACTATCTCTTACCCCTCGCTTCCTTTTTATTAATGATTAATCTTCACCAATTTCAATAATAGGATTTAATTTCGGGGTTTTGGGGTTTTGGGGTTTTGGGGTTTTGGGG